AATTCCCCTGTACTGTGGACTGTCTTCGTCACTTTGCAAATATTAGTCCTTTTCTCAAGCTTGCTGCTGTCCTTACCTCTGCCTCAAAGAGTTATTAAACTATTAAGAAAGATAAAGCTTTTTCCAACTTAATAAGGCAATATGAAAACCTCTGTCTGAAGACTTTTCATACACTGAACTTTGTATTTCATAAGAATATGGATATACAGACATCTCCATAGGTTCAATGTGTGAAGCTTTTGACTAGGTCTTGATGGAAACCAAACTTGAAAGCAGTCAGACACTTCAGGGTGAGGATTGATATGTAGTAACTGACCTGTCTTTGAGGAACCGGAGACCACAGGATGTCTGGATGTCTGTGTTGGGTTGTCAGATCAAGTGTCCATCTACCCTAATATTGTGTCTCCAGCAGTGCCTGTAAACACAAATGCAGGGAAGAATAAGTCCAGGTCAAGTGTATGTTATTCTTCCCTGCAGAACTCTCTCAGGACCCAACTGTTTTTCAGATTGTTGTTTCTGTGTATGCCTTAGTCCTCAACAGATTTATTTTTCCATGAGCTTGTTTCTGTCTGCCCTTAAAAATTTGACACTATAACATGTGGCCAGCTATCTCCTCAGATTATATGCATGCTTCTCAGAAGACAAATAGCATCTATTGATCAGTGCTCAAGAACCCTCAAAAAGTAAAGAAAATTGAGTGAGGTACCACTCTTGAAAACCTGCAGCTCTATGTATTGGTTCCAGCTGCAAGGTGACTGCTCAGGAAGCCTAGAAACTGCAGAGCTGAGAGACCAGAACATTTTGCGGGGAAGGCATAAAAAATAGGTATGTGAAAACAGAAACACAGTTTTTGGCTGTGCTTTTCTGTTGTAGAGCAATTCCTTTCATTCAGCTTCTGCCACAAAATGCATGTGCAGCCTGATCACAAGCTGTTGGACTATATCATAAAGAAAGGACTGTTAAGCACATATTAGCAGCTATCATGGATGTTTTGTGGGCACTCTAACAATATGCAGTGAAGTTATATGATGTCAAATACACTAAATAAAGTAAATTTTCTAGAATTTTGTCACAGATGGTTCACTGGAACATTCAGTTGACGTCCTAGAATATCCCTGCATTTCTCTACAGAGCTTTCAAGTAGCTTAAAACTGGGATTAGCAAGTAAAAATATTAATTCTCTAGACCACAGAATATCTACCAGAGGAAGCTAAGAGGCACAGTTTGAGTTAAATAGCATGGCTCGATGCACAATTCCTAGACAGACACCCAGAGCACTCATGGGAATAGGAAGCAATGATGGCCTTATCCTGCTTCTCTCTCTGGCTGAGCAGAATGGAAGTCTATTAATGAGAATATATATGAATATGCACAAGGTGGATACCTCCTGCAACATGACTCACAGTCACTCTTTGCAGTAGCTGCCCCCTCATCCCAGTCTGCTCAGTTGCTGGCACCTGCCAGTGAGGCCAGTACCCCACTTCCCCCTGCTTCCCCAGTGCTCTCATCCTTGGAGATGCATAAATGCTTTCTCATCTGGAGCTAGCCCATAGAAACTCCCTAATCTCCTTACTCTGATGTCACTTCAGCAGCTGATCTGACTTGATCTTTGCTAGTGATCACACACACACTCACTTGCACACCCATGCTTGATCAGTCACTGCACCACAGACACACAGGCTCTTCAGCCTGTGATGTCTCCAGCTGCTGGGCTCACACCCCCATACACATATGCACACAGAAAGAGACCCCTCATCCAGGAAAGAATTAGAGAAGAGTTTAATAAGAACACAGGACAGACTGTGCTGTTCAGGCACAGGGCATAGATACACATGTATTCTGACTAGCCAACTATGTATATCTAACCAGCCCTTTTATTTACCTACTAATTTTTTTGCAAAAAATTACTATTATTTTCTCACTCCTGTCCCTTGCCAAATCACCTAAATGTCTCTCCCTTTCTGCACCTTTGGTTCCTCCACATAAGCATCCCATAATTAGTCCTGTGAAATCCAGAACTGTTTTTCCCTTGCATCCTGTAATGTGTCCCACCCCTAAGCAGTGAGCCCTAGTCTAAAAGCTGATGGGAGATTCCTTGGTTTCAGTTCCTGTGCTTATGTGGGCTTCTGTTGATGGCCCTTGTGATGGGTCTGGGAATAGGCCTTCAGGGTATTATTTGGGTACCTCCCTCCTGTTATATTGCCTCTCTAAGCTCCTTCCTGGGCTTTTGTCATGCAGCTTAACGTTGTATATGTTATGCTGTTGGGTAATTTGTCTTTTAACTACAAAAAGCACTTGGTTTCTTGGTTACAAAACCTGACATTCCTACTGCAGGGAGAATTGTAGAAATGACCCTCAGACTGGACTTGTCATCTGAAGGTGGGCCATGGCTTGGAAGATAGAGTATACCTGCCATTTGACACATAGTGGCAAATAGCAAAGTGCACAGATATGTAGTGATTAGCACCCATTGGGAATCTGAGAAAAGGACATCCAGCCCTAGGTTCCCACAAAATTTTGGAGGAAAGAGTTAGAATGGCAAATAATAAAGGGTCCTCTGCTCCATAAAAATACGCTATCTGAAGTATGTGGTAAAAGACAGAGAGACTGATGATGTGCAAAAGTGAGACTTTGTTCTTCGTATTCACAGCAGTATCACAGAAAACAAAAGGCATTACTCAAAAATAATAAAAAAGAGTGCCTAGCTAAGCAGTAGGCAAATAGAGCAAAGGAGCCAAGAACTTGAGGCCACTATGCACCAGTGAGCAGATCTGTATCTATTCATCAAATTGCCTCCCATAGCAGTTGAAAGTGCAAAAGATAAACTTTTAAGGAAGACAGATCACATGAAGTAGTTCCTTGACTTAGGACAGTGGTTCAGATGGAGGCTGCAAAGCAGGTGTAGTTTAGCAACAGCCAACACACCTGGCAGTGGAATTGAGCATGAAGCAATAGGAATAGTTTCATCTGATGAAAAAAGTAAAGAACTGAAGAAAAAATTGAGGGGTCAACAGGATATTGTTAATCAAATGCAGCTACAGGATTCTTCTACCACCAGTTGCAGACAAGAAGGAAGAGGCTGTTCAGAAGATTTGCATAATTAGACCTATTAATTGGTGCAAGTGGTCATTTATATGGGTCAAAATACTGGGTTTATATCACAAAGGAAAAACAACATAATTTTCCTTAAAATATATTTCCTAACTGCACCAATCATTTATTCATTTGGAAAAATAAGCCCCCAAAACTAAGCAAAAGCATGAGCTGAAATACCTCAGTAACTGATTTTCTTCAGAGCCTTTCTGCTTAGTAACAAAGAGGCTCAAACACATTCAGAGTAGAAGCACTAGATGCAATATTTATTAGATATTAGTACAATATTATTAGATACTAGAACAATATTTAGACAATCGAGTTATGCTAACTGCTAATACAAAAGTGCAATTATTGATGAAAACCTGAAAAATCCAGCTCCAAAATCCATGAGGTACTGAACAGGGCAGTCCAGAATACTGAAACCTAAAGCACTTTCCCTGCCTGCTAAAAGAGCAAAGAATTGTAGGAGGGGATTTCAGATTCTTTAAAACCTATTTTTTAATGACTTTTTTTTTTTTTTTAAAGTAAAGGCAGTTTCTGAAGTTTTTGTAGAACCATTCAAGCACCAGAAGGTCACAGCTCCTAGCTTCATAGGTGATCCATCTTTTCAGAGAAAACACCATTGTTGGGAAATTCTATTGGGAAAGCCTCTAGCAAAATAAAATATGCAGATGAAAGTTATGAGGATGACCGAAAGGTGAACAGCAAAGTGCTTTTTAAATCCCCACTTGCTGGTGTTATAGAAAGCTGAAATCAACTACAGCATTGTACAGATTAAATGATTCAGCTGAAACAGGAAGAAACTGTTACAAACCTGAGGAGTAAACAAACTTTGGAAAATAGGACTCTGCCCGTTACACAGGTTTTGCTTTTGGTAAACTGCATGAGCTTGGGCAAGTCACTCTGACCAACAGTTGCCATGAGTTTATGTGTCACAGATACTCGCCATTCCACTGGCAGAAGCCCAGTTACCAAAAAGTGCCCTGCCCTTTTAAACAACGGTCCTATTTTAATTAGCTAAAAGTTTGCAGCCCAAAGTTGAGATGTCTGAAATCCAGTTATTGCCCTTAGCTTCATTTTCTTTTTTTCATTCCTTTTCAGAAAATATTCTATCCTGCTCTTTATGATATACTTGGAGAGCCTTGAAAAGTCTGAGATCCTTGAGATGTTGTAGCAGAAATGTATTCTTTGCATGTTGGGTTTTTCTACCTGCCTAGAAATGAGAACAACAAACACTCTAACAGCAGGACTGAAGGATCATCTTTTTTTTTAACATGGTCAGTTTGCGCTGACCTTTCAGCAGTTTTGCTCTGTGGCTCTGAAGAATGGTCTGTTGTTCCTATGGGAGTAGCAGTGCACACATTAGTATGAGTGCCTTCTTCAGATTTCTCCTGCCAAGGAAAAGTTATTCTCTTAGAACAGCAGTAAATCAGATCACCTGGTCTTTTTTTTTCACTGTGGTTAGTAGGTCACATACACTTAAGGATAGATTGTGCCCTCTAGGCATGGGCTTGCCTCGGATGCAGTACAGAGTGTACTATAAGAAGTGATTCCCAGAAGGGTTTTATTTTTCTCAGCCTTTTCCACAATGATCTTTTTACATCTTTACTAACTGTCATTCTTTTTTTTTTTTAGTGTCCAGAATTTCAGGAAATCCTAAGAAAATGGGCACAGTAGATAGGCTGTCATTTTGAGGGCTTCATAAAGAGCAAAATTCAGAATGCCATCTTTATTCTTTATACACTTACATGTAAGAAAATATCTATCCTGTAATTCACTATCAAAACATAAGATAAAAGCCAGTGGTATTTCCACAGTTTGTCATCAGCTGGGCGACTTTCCTCTCCTCTGTCTCTTTTCTTCGCACAGCCCTTTGAGATGGAGCTAGTTGATTTCATAATGGCAAATCTTTAAAATACAAAATGAAAAAATGTATCCTGCAGAAATCCTGAAATGTTTGCTAAATCTACAGTGTTTGTTATGGCAAGGTAAAAAAAAAAAAAAAAAAGTCTCAAGGGCTTCTCTCACAAGACTTGTATGACACTTTTTAATAAACAAAAAAAGTATTTTGAACTCCATGTATGCCCTCATCAGCTCATGCACATAGCTTCCGTTAATGGTGATGAAACTGCATGGATGCACCAATGGGACAGTAGACCCCTGGTCAAGTTAAAAGTGTCTGCAGGAAAAGAGTAGCAAAATAATAGTGTCTATCCAATGTATCATCTTCTCCCAGTGCTCAAAAGATGTTTTTAAATACCCTAACTCAACAGTAGTTTTGTGCTCTTTTACTGATGGGAATTTTCAAACCCCAAGTTATTTCATTAGGTAACACCACCGGTGTTTAAAATGTCAGAATCAAACTCCATTTCCTAGTGTGAACACTGAATACCAGTGCCTGAAGGAAAGTTTTATAGCATCAATTAACTGCAACCATTTGTAGGACTGACAAAGAGCTGCATCAAAGTATTATTCTAACTTTTAGATGTATTGTGCATCATTTTTATAACATGCAAGCCAACAATGATGTACCTTGTTATTGCAGGTCAGAACAACATCACCCCAGCAGATAAATCACAGAGACTGTCATTAGCAGTCCCAGAACTTGCAAGGCACAGGATGAGAGAGGCCACAGAAGAGGTATTTCATTGTTTTTTCCATTTATCATGCTAAGAAAAACAAAATATACCTAAAATGAACAACACACAACTCACATGGAAAGAATTACTAATGAAATAGGCCTGAGCTGGAATTGTAGAAGTAAGCAAACTAACTGTAATGAACTTAAATGGAAATAGCATCATATGTCTCTAAAAAGTCTCCAGAGCAGGCCCTGAGCAGGTATAAATACACTTTTTAAAAATGTATCAAGTAAATAAACATCAGTGGTGGTAAAGTCAAGACCTGCTCTTAACACTATTTCCATTCTGGTGGAAAAAAACATTTCTGAAAAGGGGGATTCCTGCTTCATGTGCATTGTTCGTGTCAGCATTTACAGATTATTAGATTTTATGTTATAATTTGATGTAGAGGTCCAAACCTTAGTAAGAGCTGTATTTTAAGAAGTACTGGTCAGACATAAGTATGTGGCAATCCCTCTCCCAGCAATGACTCTCCCCAGTTCACAAAAACAGATGTGTACTACAGAGAGATAAAATAATTTACCCAGCATCATTTGAGAAGTGTACAACTGAAACGAGCTTGAAAACAAGTTTAGAGTCTCAGTTCCAAAGCCACAGGGCAGCTTTTGTTCTCTGTTTCTTGCCAAAGCTTGTGAAATCTTTGGGCACTCAAAACCAAGAAAAAACCCCAAACCAAAATACTTTCTGCTAAAGCTTAGCAGCTTTGTATGTGCCATGAGGTCCATCTGACTATTGATGATGTGAAATCAAGCTGACTATCTCAAAGGAGACAAGTAGAAACAATTTTGCTTGTAAAACACAGAATCATGAAAAGTTGAAAACCAAAGGGGTTAAGATGCTGTTCTTGTTCCCATTATGGCAAAAATTGTGCTATGAGTAATAACAGTTGAAGATACCTGTCACTCATAGGTGCTCTAGATAGAGCTCTAGGTGGCATAAACAGGATCAGGGACACAGAGTAAGACAGATGAGAATAAGAGACTTAAAGACAGGAAAAGATTCAGGTTTATGAACTAACTATACTGAATCCTACTGTTTGAGAGATACTTCTGCAAAATGTACCTGTTTATATGGCAGACTCGTGGCTAGCTTTTTGACAGCAAGTCAGTTCTGTGTGAACCCAAGTCAGATGTTTGAATACCAAGATCGCTTAAGAAAATTTCCACCCCACCTTTAAAGATTTGGATAATTACAAGTCAAAAATTTCTTGCCCTCTCACACAGAAATCATGCCAGCATCAGTAATGTACAATGCATTAAAGCTATTCCCAGCTACCCATACAACTATGGAAAATAATGTAGCATGTTACTTCCTGTTCTCTATTGTCTAAGGCAACATCCTGAAAACAAGTATGCATATGACTAACTTCAAACATGGAATTTCACAGATGGATCTCCTAGCTGGCCCATAGTTCTTGATCTCATAGATTCACAGTAGTGAATGATTGCCGATACAGTGACACATGTATGAAGGGCACAACACACACTTTGGTGAGGTCTGACACCTCTCTGTACACCAGATTTTCCTTTTATGATCTTTCACGTCTTACTCCATTCTCTTGTTCATGAGGCACCTAGTGCAAATGTATGTTACTACCCTCTAGTGGTCAAAGTGGCAAATTTAAAAGTCCTACTGAAGACAGCTTGGGGCGGGAGTCCTTATCTCAGACTGCAGCCAGGTTTTGCAGTTAATACTGTAGAGATCCACCCCAAAAATTATTTTTTTCTGACAAGACTGGGGTCCTCCTAGCCTGAAGGTTGGGTAGACTGCAGTTACTGGTAATAACCAGAATGCTAAACCAGGCCACTGAGCTCTCTTTGCTGACATCTGTGGCTCCTTAGAGAATGAATTCTCTGTGAATGGCATCTTCACAATTCTTCTGAGTCTTCTCTGTTGATTGCTTAGGTATTTGCACAACAGATCCCTATGGCTGCATCTAATCACAACTTATTGTCAATCACTTTCCAGTGTACACAGTCATTTTCTATTATCAGTTCTAGCTCCTTTAAGTAGTAGTGTAATATAGCATGGCATGAATATTGTAGGTGTCTAGAAGTATAAACAAACAAACTCAGATTTTCATCTAGTGTAAATTAGTATCAGGTACCACAGACCTCATGGATTATATTGTTTGAAGTGAAATCTTATTAAGTTTCCTGTGACTTTTCACTAAAAGAAACTCCCTTGTCCAGTGGACCTTTAGTTTTCTATTTAAGCAAAGTAAATTGACACACATTTGGGTTTTTTTTGGGTTTTGGGTGTCTGTTTTTGGGTTGTTTATTTTTTGCCTTTTTTTTTCTTTTTAATTTAAATGGCTATTACCTGCAGTTCCCTGAAATACTTAAACAGAACATTTAAGCCCCCTTTGATCATGAATTCAATAATCATGTGAAAACACACTACAGAAGACTTGAACAGAGCTTTCTTGACTGGACTAATGCCAAAGCTATAAACTATCATCTTGGTGCTGAAAGCTATAAGCAGCAACTTGAGTGACTTAGGATTTCATCTTAAGAACAATTTGTATGCGTTGTTCTGCATAACTGTACATGTGGTGACAATAGAAAACATGGTGCATAAATAGGCACAGCCAGGGTTACAGACAGTAAATTCAGGTAGTCACTGGCCTTTTCTATACTGAAGCTTTTGTGTCTCCCAGATTAGACTTGTACAAAAAGCACTAGCAGAGCCTTCTAGGGCAGACAAGGAGTCAAAAGCCACCAAGAAATTGGCTTTACTACTTTGGGGAGGCAGGGGTAAAGGCTGTGGGACAGAATAGCATTTGTGGAGTCTCTCACTTCCCTTCACCTCCTATTATCTGCAAGTAACAAGATTCTAGCTTTATCACTGCCACTGTGGAGACCATAGTTCCCTCAGCTGTGCAATGCAGCCTGATAACTACCTTTGTGAAACTGAGAGGAGGTATCCCTTTTAGCCTGCCAAAGCCACAGTGTGGTTGGCAACATGGCACAAAAAAAAAGTAAGAAATAATCACTGGAAAATGATAGTGGTAAAGCAATCTTTATTCTGTGGTTTCTATTTCTAGTAGTAGAAAAAGAAGTCTCTCCCAGTAACATGCACCTAATGAGTTACAACTTCCAACAAAGGTGGGTTTTTTTTCCACTGAAATACAGAAGCACCAATTTCTGAGGAATTTGCATTGCCCTGGAACTAAAACTTTCTGCTTACTATGCACCATAGAAAGGCATTTCATGTCTTTCTGATAGTGTTTTTCTGAGGGTGGTGAGACACTGGAAAAGGTTGCTCAGAAAAGTTCTGGATGCCCCATCCCTGGAAGTGTTCAAAGCCGGGTTAGACAGGACCTTGAGGAACTTGGTCTAGTGGGAGATGTCCCTGCTCGGGGCAGGGGGGTTGGAACTATGTGATCTCATTGTCCTTTCCAATCCTATCTCTTCTGTAATTCTATGTTATCATGGGTAGTACTGTACTGCAGAAGTCAGAGTGCAGGATGAAGACGCAGAGAAGAATCTTTCTTTTAAACAAGTTGCATTGAAGTGTTTCATTTTCTTTGTTTGGTTTTTGTTTGTTTGTTTCTGTTTTTAAACCAACCTCTAATTTTGGATAATGAAAATTAAAGTGATACTGAATACTTTCAACAGAAGAAATCTGGTACTCTTACATCTGACACAGCTTGAGCTCAGGACAGAGAGGTGCAATTATGGTGGAGAGTCTGATCTTTGGGCTGTAGATGGTGGTGTTGCTTTATGGGAGTTTAAGTTCAGTGAGGATGGAATACTTAAAAGGACACAAAGAGAGGCAAATTGGGGTAGCTAATGAATCAGTTGCCTTCAGTTGCCTTGACAATAGTCACCTGTCCTTCATCGCCAGTTGTTCACGTCATCTTTTAGACATGTGAATAAATATAGAAATCAACATGATTTAGGAACAGATAGAATAGCAATGCAAGCATAAGTGGACAGATGCCAGTCAAATGGAAAAGGTTATCTTTATCAATACAGTGCTAATGACAATTCTTTTAATAAGTTTGCTTTTTTTTAACGTAAACTTATTCTTCAGTTATGTGATATCTTCAATTTCAAAGTACATTTCATAGTATCCATGGTTTTTGTTTCAGTCAACACACACACTATCTGTCTCACAGGAATAGTCTAATCTAACACCCAGTAGAGATAATTGATTTGAGTGAGTTTTGGATACACAGGAATCCTATTGATTTAGTGTTTGTATACAAATTGAGGAATTAAACCGTACATCCCCATGAACTGATGCAGCAACTGTTCCCATTTATAAGAATTTTGACTTACCTTGTGGGTTAGAACTTATCTGTAAAAATATCCATCTCACTTCATTAGTAATTTACAGCTCTGTATTCCCACTGATTTCCAAAGACAGAAAGGAGGCAAGTACCGAGGCCTCTGGTTTTGCTGCATGAAAAAACTGTACTTTCAGCTCCAGTCTGTAAACTGGTATCAAAGTGGCTTCTCTCTGTGGGAGTCAAACTGACATACAGGGATACTGTCGTTCTCTTCTACTGCCAGCTGCCTGTCAATAAAGCTCTCATACCCCACCATCGCTTGTGGCCAGACTCCAAATGACGGCTTGACTTTGCGAACGAAGATTTGGGAAGGGCTTTACACATGCTTACTACAAGCACGCTGATGAGTAAACCCTTCGGGCCCACGCAGTGGATTTTTTAGGTGAGGCACAGCTTGCACAGAACTGGCCCCACCCTTTACACCTGAGGTTTATCTGCCAGGGCCTAGCAAGCTTGGATGGTGACAGCAAAGTCCTTAGGTCGTTTGGTTAGAGTATCCTTCTCTTAGATGGATGGCCTTACAAGGCTAAACAAACTTCATCTGCCCGGGTTTGAAGTTGTAGCTGTCCTTCTCCTAGGATGGTTGCCCGAAGGCTAGTGAGCCCATCCTGCCCATGGACACACTTTGTCTGACCCTTCAGTTGAGACCTGTCTGGCATGGGAGACCCTACCGGAGGCATATGCCACCACCAGCATAGCTCTCAACCTCACAAGGGCACGCAAGCTCTTTCCCCATGACAAGAGGGTGTCCATGAAAGAGACAGACTGCAAATAATGAAGTGTTATTTGGATCCCCAACATGTGAACAAAGTACTTTTTCTACAGCCTCTCAGATCTGGCAATGGGATCTCTGCAGCATTAGGGAATGAGGTATGGTCCATCTCTTTGCTCAACACAGCAACTTAGCCACAAGGACATGAGACAGAGTGAGCAGAGTCTTTGCAAAGATTTACAGATGAAAGATGCACTATGGAAAGAGTGAAGAGAAAGCAGGAAATACATAAAGCAAACTGGAGCCCCTTGGTCTTTCTAGGAAGAATATCACCTTCACCATGTTCTTGTCTAAAGGCACCTTAAGGAGCAACAGCCTAAGAAGGGCAAAGTTAGACAAAATATTGACAATGAGAAAGTGGTTACAATCCAGAGAGTCACAGGCAGAATTTCAGTCATGCATTTAAGTGCAAGCTTAGAATTAAGCAGTTGGAGTGCTTCTTAGAGCAATTTCCAGACAAGGACACTACTTAGATGTCACTCTTGGGACATTCAAATCAGACACAGTGCTTAACCTAGGCTTTTGCTCCTTCAGTGTGCTCTGAGGAAACCTGCATTGCTCCCAAGTCTTCTGGGAATATAGAACATATGAGGATGTTGGTACGAGGAGCTGTTAGTCTCTTAAACTGTAGTTTTGTTTTTCTGCCCTGGTGACAGAGCTTTCTGTGTCCTCCTGGCAGACACTGTTCAACTTAATCATCATTTAAACTTCCAGTTCATTACTCTCATGAGTCTTCACGCCAGCTAGCAGTTTTAGAGTTGCTTTTCCATGTTCAGACAAAGATATTCAGACCCCTTCTTCATTTTCCTTTGCTTGATCTCCACAAATGCTGACACATGCTAGCTAGACTCAAGCTTGTTACTAACCTAAATAATCATAACAATTGCTTGCCTCCCTTCGAAGAGGGGATTTTGATAGTTTTTTACTATCAAAAAAGTTGGATATATCTGTGATATTTGTCAGGAAGATCATTCAAGCCCAATTCAAAAGTGCCATCACAGATGACAGATCTCTGGTAAGATACTGGTTTTAATTAATTTAACTTAATCTACTTAATGGATTTACTTGTAAGTTATCAGAAAATTCACTCAGAGCTTATATGCTATAAGTTTGGGGATGATGCATGGAGTCTTATTACATACTGCATAGAGGCTGATAAGTTTTTCATTTAAAAAAAGCAATGTTTCAGAACTGTATTCAGCAGTGGGTTTGCTGTTTTTCATATTAATAACAATAGCTTCATCACTAAGGTTACAAAGCCAGGCAGCTTTAAAGTTGGGAAGTTCCCCAGTTTAAGCTGATTGTATTGCAACACAATCTTATGTCAGGATTTTAGGTTTTTTTGGGGGTGGCTATACCAATTTTAGTTCAAGAGTGTTTAACTTTAGCTAACAAAAATTAATTTGATTATCTTTGCTACTGTTTGATTAGCAGAGTTTGCTTATTTACTTAATATTTATCAAATCCTTGTAAAAAAGCAATTATTAATTTTCCCATCGGTTTTCCTACAATAGTCATCACCGTAATATGCCAATACTTCACACTTGCCTTCTCCAACAACATTCTCCTTAGATTAGCTGTTTTTAGTCCCATTTTCCAGATGGAAATTGAGACAAAGTGATTTAGATGCAACTTGTTTATTCACTTTGTGTTAGACATTATAAATTAAATAGTTCTCATTGATGCTAATTTTAGCTGCAAATTCTTAACACATTTGATCAGATACTTATGGAGTAGGAAGCAATTAATGAACTCATGTCAAATATCTGACTTCTTATCTTGCAGTATGTCATCCAAGGTCTATCACAGTAGCAGCGAAAGAATACAATCCCAGAGTATCAATGTTTACCTTAAGCATGAGCCTATCCTGTCCGCTTCTTAACGTTCCCAGCTCCATTTGCTACCCACCTCCCAGCCTTGACAACAAATGGGGAAATATCATGTGGAACCAAGAAACAGCCATGAAATTCAAACTGGCGTATGTAAATAGAGTACAAGAATTGGGTTTTAGCTGTAATGAGCCCAGAGGGATTACTTATTAAAGTTACTAAAACCAGACTGCTTAACTCCTCAGTTATTTCAAATGCTATCCAATAGCTACATTGCCAAAAGGGGCCAAATAATCTACTTGGATTGGTGTACAATATGCTTTGAAACAGATGCATTGGTTTATGTTTCATTTAGGTCTGTGCTGACAGTGAGACCCTGGCCCAGGAATACTCGACTTCTGACTTCCATCACGCCCTCTGAGGACTAATAAATGCACAGGAAGACAATGGCTGGTATTAATGCTCTCTATGGCTAACTGAAAAAGAGAGATGGAGCAGGACTGCTCTGTTGCCAAGACAATAGAAACCATAAGTCAGTGAAAACTAGGAAAGATCTAACTGAAATAAACGAAAGTTGAACCTAATTAAAGAAACAAGTAAACTAATGTAAAGGTGGAGGGTCAGGGGATGCTCATTTTCTTTTCTGTTTTCCCTATGAATTCGCCTACAAAGAACTGGTGAAGGAGCTGTGGCAAAAGCAATTGAGCATAAAAAACCATAGGGCTGTGTGTACTTCTCTGATTTATCATGGCTTACATGAAACCCAATATTGTTTATACTCAAGTGAGATGTGGCTTACTATTCCATGCATTTAGGTATGATTGTGTTTCTAGTTACTGTTTAATGAAACATGGATCTTGAGACTTTTGCAGTGCTCCTTCTTCTGAAGAAACACTGTGAAATGAAAGATGAATATGCTCAACCATGTAATGGAATAATTTAGTTTTGGTTTTATTTTCTTCTGGTTGTTTTGGTTTTTTTTTTTATAGTTTTAAAAAATGAGAAGTGTATTACATCCCAAACAATACATGAAAGACAACATGTGGAGGTGCAAGTAGTCATAATAAAAAGTTTTAAAATGAAAGTAATAGAAAAATATTGAACAATTATGCAAAGCAGTCAAGATTTATCTGATTCATTGCATGGAGATCATACTTCTGGAACTCTGTGTGCTTTATGAACAAATTATTACTCTGTAGAGCAGTTGTCAACATTTAAGTATCTTGGATTTCTTTTAAGGGTTTTGCTATGGCTGTTCCTTTTAATAAGTCTGATTTAAAGCCACTGAAACTAAAGAGGAATTTTCCAGGTGACAGTGCTTTGCACCAGAAAATCACTTGCCTCTTGCCCCAAAAGCATATAGTACATAGGAGTAATTAAATGGATGTAAGTTCATAAAAGCACCTGTGCAGAGAAAACACATGCCCTACTGTTTATTCCTACCCTATGAACTACATATATATGTAATTTGTTGTAAAATTGTAATCAATTCCTTTCTTTTTTTTACAAAATACAGATTTCATCCAAGTATCTCCAGCCCTTACCCCATCCTTGTGAAAAGCATTCTCTCTGTGAACTCTTTGATTTATAGTCCAGAATTCCCACTGAAGCACCCCTAGAAATCTCAGCCAGGACATTTGCAAAGGAATCAAGAGGCAGTCCCTCTGGTAACCATATCCCATAAATTTAGAGATTTACTGGTTGATCCTAGTATTTTTAACTCTATTTAGAAACTCAGTGGCAGCTGCTATAGACCCAGAAATATTGGTGTAATAATATTTTTGTCATGATGCTGCTTTGAAAATTGGTCATAGAATTGTTCTTCAGCTTGAGTTTCCCAGGGGCATTAAGATAAAAGTGTAATACAGCTAAGTAATCTTAAAGTGATAGAAATAAGGATTAGTCTGTCAGGGATTACCTCTGTAAGAGAGGGTCACACTCTTTTCACCAGATACAGATGAGAATACTGATAATAAATATGACTGAGAAAAACTTTAGCATCCTTTTGTTTTATCTAAGCAGTAGAATTCAGCTGACATCTTTCCAAGCTAATGAGGCCATCATATAGGACACTTCTGTGATGTTTGTGCAGCGCTAGAGAATCTAGCCCTGTCTTTAGCTGGTGTAAATCAGCTCTGTTATCTCCTCACTAAATTGGCAAGTACTGTCATTCCTAAAGCCTCCAATAGCTTCAGGAATCAAGCTGCCATCCCTAACTTTATATGTCTGCTTCAGGACAAAATGAAAATGCTTCTTTTGATGCTTGGAAATCCCCCATCCTCACCCTGCTCATTATTACAATTTCTTGAAATTCAGCCAGTGCTTAAGTAACTGAAGAATAATCTCCAGAGATTAAGAGATCTGCAACAAAAACAATAGGCAAGTGATCCCTAGAGTAGGGGGCTTTGTGATTCTTCTTTTGCGTATATAAATCCCTAGCAGCTTCACAGAAGTTACAGCAGCAGAAGAATCGAATGACAAGAACATCCAGCCCTACAATTATTGCTAATTGCATCTTTAAAAAGGAGGATTTTTCCAGTGTAAAAAGGGGAATTTGAAAGTGGATGCGAAAGTTAGTATTAGTTTTCTCACAAAAGACTCGTCTTTCCTGTTACCTGTTGATCTGCTTTAACATCAGTTTTTGTGATGGTTTTCCTTTATACCTTACTGACCTACTCTCATCCCATATGGATAAAAGATTTGGGCATTAGTCTTTTTTACTAGACCTCTCTAAAAGCTAGAAATGATGCACACGCTTACAAATCTGCATGGCAAACAGACTTTTCTTCTTTATAGACTGAAAGCTTCTTTACCTGTTTGTTTCATCACAAGTTTAACATACAGCTCCAGAGATATCTGTATTGTCTCTATGGACAGGCAATTGGTTTCCCCTTTCTTGGCAGTCAGTCATTTCACTGTTGTTCAGACATGTAGATCATATTTAAGGGGCACTGGAATTATGACGTTTTCTTCTCTTCCCTCTTCTTAGCTTCCATGTTTGCTTCCTTCAGCTTCCAAAGTCCGGTAATTCCTTGCTTTTGTTTTAAGCAGCCCAGCGCAAAGCAGCCTCCTTTCCATAACCTGTTTCTTTCCTGAACTGACAGATATTTTTCCCCCTTTGGATCTTTTCCAGTATTCATTTTCTGTCTGTCATGGCTTTCAGTCAGTCCACCTGACAAATCCTCACTCACTGTGCTCCTAAAAACCTTGCTTTTGATCCAGCGTTCATCCATTTAACCTCTGGGCTTCCAGCCCTGTAACTTGGAAGATATAGCAATAAAGAAAGCACAAGTAAGACTAATCCCTGAAATGGACTAGATAATTCTCCTTTCTATTCTCCCTCAAGGCAAACACACTGACATTTTGAGTTAAGTTAAATTCTGGCTATATAAAAAGAAACTGAAGCTTACCTATAAAGTTTCTAATGGCTAGCACTGAGAGTCTCTCAGAGGGCGAAAACTGGGGCAGAACTTGCTGCAAATTCATAGTAAATTTACCTGGGTAATGGCAGGGAAACCATTCCTCCTCTACGTAAGCAAATATTGCTGTGCTCAAGCACTCTGAGGAAAGCTATTAATCCTGGGCCTGATCCATCTTGTGTAAATAAAAAAGAAATCACCTGAAGTCAGAGGAGTTACAAAAATGCATTAAAAAAGCTTTAATTATTACTAAGGCCAGGAACCCTGTTATGAAAATAGGGACTAAGGCTCTGCCTCACCACACATTTGGCATTTCTCAATTTACTAACATGAGGGGCGATGTGATCTAGCAGGCAGAACACAGAAATAAGAGCTGGGAGGCCTTGACTATGTTCCTGGCTGTGGCAGCAACGTATTAGGTGACAATGAGCAGATAATTTTACATTGGTAAGCCTACACTTTACCTTTCACCTTTGGTCTTGTTGGTCTGTAAATTCTTTGTTTTCAACAGGGCCTACTAAGCATCCTCATAATGTAATAACAAACCGACCCTTGCAGAGACTAATTCTGAAAGAAAATTAAATGGGATTTACATACACTGAGGTTACTTAAGAATCATAGAAATAACATATCAAGGTATTGTTTATCGGCATTGAGATGGCGTAACTTGAGACCACTGAGATTGTTTTATTGCCCCAAGATTCACTTGTCACCAACAGTCACAATGTTTTCTCAGGATGACAAGTGATCAGTCTATCTAACTTGCAATTAGAGATTAAAAAAAAAAAGCTTGACAAAAAGATCTGACCTTAATTTAAAAAATTAACACTGTGACAAAAAGCAAACAAAGTGCTTTTTCAATTTAATTAAAATGACACAATCACAGTATAAATAATTGTGTTTTATTAATCGTCAGCATTCAAGCTTGAGACTGGTGCAATACTAATGATAATTAAGTTGCTGGTGCTGAGTGTGGTGCCTTAATAATTACATAGTAGTTAATACATAATGCTAAATAAAACTGTGAAGTTCTGCATGGCAATTACATTATCTAAGGCTGCTAATTAGTTACGTTAATTTAGAATTATTTTCTTTTCCTGTGTAGACTGGGCTTGTTAAACTGAGAGTCCCCATTGTTACTTCTGCCATATGCAACAAAACCAGTGTTCTTTCCCTTTCCATGGAAGTTCACACAATGATGTTTCACATCAGCAGAGTGGTCTGTAAGGGAGACATATCCTACAGAATCTTACACTGTATTTGTTAGTTATTTGTCTGGCATGTGCAGGTAGCAGCACGTTTATGACTCAGGATGCTTAATCATGACAAGGATGCTTCTGATTGTTACTATCAAGGTGGAGTCCACTTTTTAAAGTCATTCTTATTAGTCCTTTTTTTTACAGACAGAAAAAAGGGTGTTTTAAGGGGTATGAAGACAATGAGGACAAGAAACTAAGCTGATCCAGAGATAGAGCAGAAGCAGAATAAAAAACGCATAGGTAATTCCTGCTTGCAGTCATAATATAGAGGACTGTGTTTTAAGGCTGGGTCTTCCGAGTCAAGATATGGGCAAGGAGCTGTGAAGCCTGAAATGCCAAATCAGTTGAGCTGAATGTAATGTAAAGTAGATGTTGCAAATAGCTTGAGTGTACAAGGTCTCAAAGGTAAAAAAGAACTGAGAAAATTCCCTGCAAGGGAAAGTGAGCTGGTCAAAAAGGCCAAATTGTCAATTTAAAATTCTCCAGAAATATAGAAAACAAATGGAGGAAGATTAATGAGTGCTTTCCCTGTGTCTGCAAGGAATGGATGTCAGAAAAAGGAAGACAGAGGTACAGTCATCTTTTAGATACACCTCGAGTGTCTGGAAGTCAGTAACCTAAAGTTCCTCTCTCCTTTGGGGCATTTCTTCTTTATACCCTCCAATTAGGTTGTTGCAGGTAGCCGTAAGATCTCTCTGCCTTCTCTTCCTAAGACTAAGAAAAGTCATATAGGTTTTTATATAGGACTAAAAAAAGCCATATAGCATATACATACAAATGCACTAAGATCCACAAAGGCATTTGGGAACTTGTTCGACTCAATCACCTAAATGCCTTTATGCATTATGGCCTGATTTCTGAACACCAGACAATCTCCTCTTTGTTTCCTAGAGAAGTAAGTTGATTTGCCCCTTCTATGGAGTAGCTTGCACCCACTGGAGACAAAACCTTCTTTGCCTGCTTCCGTATATTGTGAGGATAAGTTTCTAACTAATGTTAAAACTTGTTGCTCTGAGCTTGTTTGAAAAGGCATTGTGGCTATGGGGAATCCCCAGAGATGATGGAATAAAAGAGAAGAATACCTCCCTCTTCACTCAGTCTTTAGGCATGCAGGAGCTATTTTTAATATTGCAAATTAATACATATGGGGAAACAGATCCTCTCAGCAATAGAGAGTCAGCAGCATTTGAGACTGAAAGATGCAGAGAAGAAGGGCTGGCAGCTCTAAGGGCTTTGTTGCCCCAGGCAAGCAGCAAATCTCCAGTATGGCATTACCTATACATCTTCAGCGGACAATTAGCAGGC